CCCCCGCCCAATCCATGAGCTGTTTATCATCAGACCGCTCAGCAACTCTTGAGTGCTTTTGTTGGCTCGCCTTCCCCACCCGGCTCGGCCAATAGCAGATCGCCTATGAGAGCTCACTTCCTGCTAAAGGGGCGGAGCATGAGGTGAGCTCGTGACAGGTCCAAACGAGGAATCGCGTGAATCTCAAGGCACCCTTTGTTGATGCAATATGACGCATCCGCTTTCGTTCTGTGACTTTGCCGTTCGACCCCATGTCACATTTCGAAGCTCTCGGAATGTGTCGATAAATATTGCGACACAAAACAGTGGCGCCGACACAGCCGTCGCATGTCTCTGTTGTTTCCCCCGAAGAAGATTTGGGTTCAACACACCAGGCACTGATTTATTTTGCAAATACAAGATCTGATGTCAAATGCCAGTCAAGTCGGATATCAAGACTTCCGCTCAGAAAGGATCCCAGGATTGACTTGGCCTGCGTCTTGGTTGCTCAATATTTTCCGTCGTCATGGACGGCAGACTTTTATTCTCTTATCACGAATCGCTTTTTGACTACATTTCAGCTCTTCCGAATGTTTCCTTCCCCCTTTCATTGCTCCGCCATCAGATCGCAAAGCCTCCTTCTGCTTTTTTTGCCGGCAATTCACCGCCTTTGTCTGTTCCTCCTCATTGTCAGGCCTCACGCGCCGAGCGCCGCTGCTGCTTTATCGGTGCGGATGACTTGGCAAAGAATGACCCCCCCCCCCCCGGGTCTTCCCCCCGTTAACATTCCTCCAAGTGCAATCCTTTCACTTCCAGAAAGTGTGGCGAGCCTGATTTGTTGCGTAATGAATCGAACGCTCACTCTCTCCTTTTACAAGCAATCCTCGATGAAGGAATAATTATCTCCGACATGAGGAGACGGGCCAGGGTGCCAGTGAATGGGCTCCTTCGGTGTGAAGTAATCACACGTAAGCCTGGAAAGTGCAGGATGCTGACAAGACTTGACTTGACCCGGACTTGTACTAGAAAGTAGCTTCGGGTCAAAAGCGAGGAGAACAATGCCAACGTCAATTCCTCTTTGACATTTAAAAGCTTCCCGTGACTGCTTTTGGCTCTCAAAGTAGAAATACCGGGTGTCCAGAATTAACGACGCATGATAGGAGGGTAATCGCTTTTGTCATGCTCACTTTGACTGTGTCTCTTAAGAGGAGCCCAAAAAAAATTATTATTTTTTAATGGTTCTGGCGCGTTTAAGAGACTGATGAGGTTTTTTTTGAACACGGTGAGGTATGTGGAGAAGCAGCCTTAAAAAAAAAAAAAAGGCTGCTGTTTTCCTGACATTCCGAAAAAAAAACGATCACGCAACTCAATCTCTCGCGACGGTTGCGCGCAATAAGTGCGGCCTTTAGGGCGCGCCGCCCTGCAATGAACCAGGGCCTGACAGACACCCGGATGAAAAAGTCGTCTATAAGACAGAAGAAGCCAGTTGAGTGGAGGCGAGAAGAGAGGACGATTAGGTTTTATGGATTCTCTTAGCACGGGTGCACTAAACACCTCTCTGTCCGTGCAAGAGGCGGCTTGTGAGAAGCCGGTAGCGCTTTAATTGTGAAGGTTGGAAATAAGGTCAATATAACTGCCTCTCGAGAATGCCGCTACACTCACAAGGGAGATTTTTCAGGAAAACGTTTCTGCATACCGACGTGGTTTTAACGCGCTTCGCTGGGGGGAACTGCCTGATAGATTTATTTTATGTGTTTAGTGTGAAAATTAGCAATAAAGTAAATTCAGGGGGGGAAGGAGGGGTTGGGGAGTTGCCTGTGAGGCTGCACATGGCGTTCATTTCCCTTTTAACAACAACACGGAGTCAATAGCGGCCGCGGCCAAGTCAACACGGCCAACGTTGGCTACTGTATGGCGAGCGAGCGAGTGGGGCAAACAGAGATTTGTAATCCTGTGCTTTTGTGGCCGGATTAAAATCCAACGCCGGGGTTGGGGGGAGGGACTGGTCAAGTTGAGGCTGGATTAAAAGGCTGTGGGCCTGCTTGGTGCACAGCTGTGTCGGGACGGGAGGGGCTCAAAGAGGGTCCCGGCCTGTATTGGGATGACACAGCTTTGCTCGGAAATATAAAAAGAACGTTGATAAACGTAGATAAATCTATATATATGTATATATGCACACAGAGGCCTTGAAACTAGCTTGACAAGATGGTTGGAATAAGAAGCAAACACAACAAGAACAGCATGGCATGCGAAAAATTCTTCTCAGGACAACCTGTTAGTTTTGTTGGTTTGTTTTGACGTCCCGGCAGGGTCGCCTGCAAGCGCGAGCGGGACAGAAGTAGCCTCGTAGAAGCAAAAAGCAATCGCAACTCGGTTGGATGAGATTTCATTGGTATGTTAGCAATTTCAGTTCCATGTCATTTATTGAAAAGCCCCCCCAGTCTTCTTTTGGGCCCTTTTCAGCTCCAGTCAAAGTAATAGTGGCTCGAAAAATGATATAATGAAACGACCGACTGACATGGACACACTCCTTGGGATGGCCCCGCCCCTCCACTCAAAGCCCCGTCTGGTGCGTGTTAAATTGCAACCTCATAATTCTGTCAGCAGCTCCCGACGTTCGCGAGAGACACCTTCATATGACGCGTAAAGAAGGAAAACAAAACACACAAGAGCACAATCTGTACGCATAGTTTGCTCTGCGGGGGTCCCAACATGGCACGCATGGGGGGGAAAAGTGGAGGAGACTGGGAATGTCGGGTCAAGCCACCCCCCCGCCTCCCAAATACTTATGTAAGATTACTTACATAATAACATAATATCCTACTTGTGTGTGTGTGTGTGTGTGTGTGGGGGGGGGGGGTGTTACTATGTCTAGACAAGCGGGCACAGCACCTGAACTTTGGGTGGGGTCGAAGGGGTGAACGAGGAGGGGTACTCAAGCAAGCCCTCGGCACAGGAGAGGATTGTGGGATTCTAAATTCGTATGAGTGCGCGTATGTGGCGGAGGCAGCGCATTAAAAGAGTTGCGGGGAGGAGACTGACAAAATATTGAGCAAATCTACGCACGCCATCCAACTTTCAGCCTCTTTTGCGGCTTTCCTGCCTGCCTTTCACAACTTGCATTCACAAAAAAATGCCTTGAATTTGCCCCTATTACCCCCCCCACGCCCCCCCCCCTACCCGTCCCCCCACCTCGCCATCACTTGATATCCAACCCGTTTTAATCTCCCTCGACTGCTCTTCAGTTTCAGAGGGCTCGGCGATGGTCATGGCCATGGAGGATGCCAATGTGGCGCGGACGGAGGAGGCGGAAGAGGCGCAAGGAGTGACGTCACCGCCGGCAGTGGACGCGCCGGCGGTGGCCAACCAGGAAGCGGTTACATCTGGAGGTGAGGAACTTGCGAGGAGTGCCGAATCATTTCTCTGGACGTCTACGGGTGATGGACTGGAATCTGATTGACGGCGGAAACTACTTTTGAGCGCCCCGTTGTTCGCACGATTTGGGTCTCGACAATTCTTTTTCACTGAAATGTCGCTGAAGTAATCGGAGAAAAATTTACAGTTGAGAGGCTGAAATTCTGAGGATTTGGAGAATTTTAAATGAACCCATTCAGGGACGGGGCGGTTACTAAAGCGGACAGCTTATCGTGTTGTCAGGTTAGAGCAGGGGCGTCATACTCATTTCACATTGTGGGTCGTATATGGCCTCAGTAGATGTCAAGTGGGCCGGACCATTAAAATGATACCATACTCTGCTATAAATAACCAAAATAATATGTCTTTCCTTTATTTTGGTCTAAAGAAGCACAAGAACATTAGGAAAATGTTGAAATGCAATGAACATATGTTTTACAAAACATTTCATGAAGCACCTTCGATTTCCTTTGACAAATGTGCACTTTTATCATTCACATATATGCATTGAAACTGAGCCGACTGATTGTACAAAGGCACAAAACTTGAACAAGTAATTGGTATTGAAAAATATAGTCATGCATTTTCAGATTAAACGAGATTTATAAAGAAAGGAATATTTAAACCATGTACACATGTGCATATAAAATCTAAATGTAATCCCTGCCTACACCTTACAAACTAAGGAGAGTGCTATAATATGTGTAAAGAATCAAGTACTCACATGTCCTTGATAGCGTCTGCTGTGTTGGGTCTGTCTCAGTGGCAGACTGAGACTGCTATTGTCTTCTTCTCGAATCAAAACAATGTTGTCTTCTACTCTGATCAAAACAGTGTCCCCCTAGCGGACACTCCACGAATTGCACCTTATTAAAAATATTTATTCTGTGCCTTTTATGCATTTTTTTTCACTTTTAAATGATCCTGCGGGCCTGATCGAACCTCCTTGGGGGTCGGTTCCGGCCCGCGGGCCGTATGTTTGACCCCCCTGGGTTGGAGGGTGAATGAAAGAGTTCAACAAAACAACACAAAACACCAAGTCTGTCATTATCAGTCTGAGAACGAAGCATAAATCACTTCCACTCTCATCTCTTACTGAAAAGAATCTAGTGGGTTTTTTTAAAAAATATTTTTTGAGGTGAGAAGTCTATTTTCGAGTCCACGTGGCAGCAAGCCAGACGACAGGATGAGACCAGCAAACATTCCTGTGGTCAAGGACGCACTGACGTTGACCGAGTGGCCAAAGGTCACAACAGATTATGCAAATACTCCCAGTGGAAAGTGGGATCCTTTGAGAGCAGATTAGTTGAGGTTTTTTTGTGGGGGGGGGGGGGGGGGCCGACAACTTCATTCAGAAGTAAACATTTGCAGAACGGGGGTGTAAATTATCAGCTTGCATCTTTGGGAATAGTGAGTAAATGAGTGGCGAGCAGCGCAATGATTGTTTACGTGCCGAGTCGCGTGTTTGCGACATGTTTATCCGGGCCCTGTGAAAGCGGGTTGTTTGTGTGCGTGGCCCTGACAAAAACTCAGTATTGATTCTCGTTGTGTTGAAATTCGATGTTTTAGAGCGCCATCCAGAGTTTGCATATTTTTTGCTTTAAAGAGTTCTTTGGCCGCAAAGTCAAATGCTTTTCTTCACAAGCGTTAAGTGTGTCGTTTTCAAACTGCAAATAAAACATATACCATATTTAATATACACCGTATACCCCTAACCTTAACACCTAAGCCCACCCCAACACTAAGCCCTAAACCTAACCGCAACCCTTTACCCTAACCCAACACCCTAACCCCAAGCCCTTAACCAGAACGCTGAACCCCCTACATCTAACCCTAAACCCTAATCTAACCCCCAACCCCCCTAACCCTACACCTAACCCCTAACTGTAACCCCAAAGCCAATGCCTTACCCTACCCCGAAACCAGCCTCAACCACAACCCTAACCCTACCCTGAAAATGGTTAAGGGTTAAGAATTAGGAGTTGGGCATTAGGGGTTAGGGGGTTAGGTTAAGGGGGTTAGGCTGAGGGAGTCGGCCGACAAGCATGTGCTGTTTATTTACATCTCGTCAATGTAGCCCGGTGCTGTTGTTCTCCGGGGATCGCGATGCAAATGAGACTTCTGCATCGTTTGCGTTTCAGACCCGGCCAACTCAAATTGTCTCTCTCTCTCTTCCTTATGTCGATTGTCTGCGGCTCAGCCGTGCAGGAGGCGTTGGATAATCTCGGTGAGGTGACTGCCTCCGGGGGCGCCAAAGACATCGACCTTCTCTTCCTCCGCGGCATCATGGAAAGCCCCATTGTACGCTCCCCGGTTGAGGTAGCACACGTGAACACACCGAATTGAGGGCGAGGAGACGAGCCCGCTGACGCGCTTGAAGGGGCGCAAGCCGTCACTGAACGCTTGCCCATTGGAGACGAAACAAGTGCACTCAATGCTGCGCACGTGGCAACTTTACCGTCATCCGTTGACGCATCGCTGCTCATCTGCACGCAAACTGTTACCCGAGCCATCCGCCCCTGAGCTTGTGTGTCTCTCTGCCAGGCTTCCGAACAGCTGGAGGAGGTGAAGCTGGAGGCGGTGCAGGACAACAACATGGAGCTGGTGACGGAGATCCTGGGCGACATCAGCGGCCTCAAAGTCAGAGACGACAGTGCGGCCGAACTGTCCAGGATCTTGCAGGAGCCGCACTTTAAGGTGAACAGCGCTCCTAATTTCTAAACAAAATTCGGTTGAGTTCGATTTTTATGCTTATTAGAAAAGCAAAATTCCACTGAGGGGGCTGTTGTCAGACTTGCGAGTTTATTCCGATTGGCCTCGTCTATTGCTAACGTGGTCTGTCACATATTTTTGTGTGTGGCTCCCAATTGGTCAATACTGTCAATACTCGCAAATAGAAAGCCAGCACAGCAGAAATTAAGGGGATTGCTGCTGGCTTTGCTCTTAACCTTGGGCATAACGTTCTATTTCATCTTATGCCGTTTTTTTTTTGTGTCCAAAGCTTGCCTCTATTCCATCTTCGTATTTCAATATACGTACATACACATTTATTTCAGTTTTTGGTTTTTTTTTTGAAAGAGAACGGGGATCCTACACCTCAAAAGCTTGATGCACATGTATATGTAAAAGTGTTTATTTTACAAATATTTTTTACAATATTACTGACAAAAATTTTATTATCCAATGAGATCAATGACTAGACAAATACAAGTGGGACTTGTGAACCAAACAAAGAGACTAAGAGACTGTAGTTGCAAAAGATAAGGCACCGTTGACCTAGTGAGAGAAGGCGAGAGGCAGGGAGGGAAGGAACAAAATATATGCGAGTGACATTTCCCCCGCCATTATTTTCACTAATTGTTGCAATGTTAAAAGGTTAAACAGGAAACATTTGTCTCGCTTCTGTAATTGGATGAGAAGTGGGTCAAGAATTAATCAAATAGATTTGTTGATAATCCATATTTGGGATTTTAGCTTTTACATGATTAGTTTTCCAAGGAAGGCACATTCCGAAGTGACAGCGGATTCCGATTGGTCATGAGCTGTTTTGAAAAAATCTTGGCTGCTCGGCGATGCGATGCTTCATAGCTATTAATGTGTAAACGCAGAGAAATGAGCTTGTCTTGAAGCTTGTTGTGGCACACCTGAGTTGATATGTCTTAACATGGGGGGTGGAGTGGTTAGATTGTTTATCAATTGAATGAGATGTCACATTAAGCTGGCTCCACGAGCCAAGTCTTGGGCTACATTGTAATGAAATGAAAGTCTGCGCAGACTTTTGGCATCACAGAAAGTCCCAAAGTGTCTTTCTATGTTACATAACGTCACAGAATCTTCCTTCAAGCACTGTCCCTTTTGTCCTTTTCTCCTCAGTCCCTTCTGGAGGCACACGACATGGTGGCCTCCAAATGCTATGAAGTCCCGCCCCCTGCCGAGATGGCCAATGACGCGGCGGTGAACAGCGCTCTCATGCAGGCGGACGCCGTGCGCATGATCGGCATCCGGAAGAAAGCCGGGGAGCCTTTGGTGAGCCCAGACTGAGCGTGTTTGCAAAAAAAATTCTTTCGTGAGCAAGAATCAAAATCGAACCTTCGTTTTCCCTCTCAGGGCGTCACCTTTCGCGTCGAGAAAGACGACCTCGTTATAGCCAGGATCCTCCATGGCGGCATGATTGACAGGCAAGGACTACTGCACGTGGGCGACATAATCAAGGAAGTGAACGGCAAAGACGTGGGCAACAATCCCACCGAGTTACAGGACATGCTCAAGGACTGCAGCGGAGGGATCACCCTTAAAATACTGCCCAGCTACCGTGATGCCCCCGCACCCCCGCAGGTACACACTCACGAGCATACGCTGCAACTGGAATGAGGGACAGATGCTGGCCGGTGATACTACACTTGTGTCCTCCGAGCAAGAACGTGAAGTCTATTAATAACACTCCACTTCCTATCTAGGTCACATGATCTTACATCTGGGAACACTCTCCATTCACCGGCATTCTGCCGCGTTCTTTTATGGATGCTCGGTAATCCTTAAAGGAATTAACGGGAGCTGCAAACGCAAAATATTGCTTTCGAAAACGTGCACGTTAATTGAAGAATCGAAATTGCCCACGGGGCACCGACTCACCCCCGATGAGAAAAAGCAGGAAAGGTCAACTCAGAGTGTCAACAGTAGGCGCCAGTCTACTTTTGGGTGACGGATAGGTCGAACCTTACCGCTGATCCGAAGAGATCCCGGCTGCTGTAGAGCTCATCCAAAAACATTCTTGGGGATCCGCAACTGCTGGTAAACACAGTCAGAATTTCAAGTGTCATGTAGGCTAACTTATCAAATATCAAGAGGACTAAAACAGGGAAAGCAAAGCAGAGCTGAAGGCCGCAGTTGATGGATGAGGGGTGTGTATTACCGCTTTGGTTTCATCATTACCGCAAGTTTCGTTCGAGCCAACGCTTAGCTGAAGAGGCCACACAGCATCCCTTTCACCGTCAAACAGCAGGTCAAAGCCATTAATCGGAGCTACAAAAATGTCACGCTCAAGCGAGTGGCAACCATAGCAAAAAAATAAAAAAAGATTTAAAGTCAAACAGCATCAAGAAAAAAATGAAACATTTCAATTGGTAGGTTAGCCTTTATGCGATATCTGCCATGACCGAAATTGGGTCATTTAATTTATTGCCATCTTCCAAATCAGCCATGATCATGTTCGCTGTCGTTGAATTTCGGCCATGTCTATTTTGGACTCGACTGGTGGCCTTTGGGTCTCATTTCCAAGTCGGTTGCCTGATGCAACGCCTTCATTTCGACTCACACTTCACACATGAATTAGCGGTAGACAAGATGGCTAACCAACAAGAGACACATTCACTTGTGTACGAGGTTTTCCCAAACCGACCTGCTAGAAAACAAAAACAAAAAAAAAATCCTGTTTTGTCAATCGCTCTGCCTCACATACTGTACACTACTGTTATATCACAGGAGCACAGAGCCCCCCATCCTGCCACTGAATGGTTTTTACTGCTTCCTCTTACCGCTTGTCTAATTAAATCAGACAGAGGACTTACACTTCCTGACAAAATGTCTCCACTCTTATGAGTGCAGAGTCTTGACACCCATCACCGCGAGAGAGCAACAGAGTGTCCTGTAATCACTCCTCACAGGTCTACGTGCGGCCCTACTTTGACTACGACCCGGCCAGCGACAATCTGATCCCTTGCCGGGAGGCCGGCATGGCTTTCAAGCGAGGTGACATCCTTCAGATTGTCAACAGAGAAGATCCCAACTGGTGGCAGGTGAGAGGTTTGGATCGATTCTAGTCGGCTTGGTGTTCAAAGACAACAAGGGCGACGTGTGTTGGGCAAATGTCTCGTAGGCTTGTCATGTCGTGGGCGGGGCGACGGGGCTGATACCTAGTCAGTTCTTGGAGGAGAAGAGGAAAGCTTTTGTTCCACGGGACTTCGATGGATCAGGTAGGCATTTGGAGACTTTTTTTTTTTTCTTTTTCTAAATCCACTTAATCACACCGCTCTCCTGTTTTCTGGGATTGGTCATGTGACGTTCGCAAGCTGAGCCCTTAGGCGCCGCGATGTCATTTTCAGTTGACAGCAAGTGACAAAATGGTGTTTATAACATTTTGCCAGCTGTCTCAAGTCAAGCGAGTTCACGGAAACTGAAAAAGCTTCGTACAATCCAGTGCCACCCATCCTGCTGCAAAGTCATAATCATAAACATACGATCAGACTGAAACCAATTCGGAACGCTCCCGATTTTGCGGGGGTACCCAAAATTGTGCTCACGACGACGCCTTTTGTTTCTCTCATCCGTTTTTCAGTTGGATTAATAAAGCAGGCCATCTGGTGAATCAGGTTCTCCCTGCTGAGGAACTTCAACCCATCATGTTTAAAAGTGGTCCAGCCTGCCCCCTAGTGGTCAAATACTGCACAAGCAAGGCCGTGTGAGAGGCTTGATTGATCCCTTTTTTTTTTTTTTCCCCTCCAGGCATCTTGTGTGGCACTATTGCCGGGAAGAAAAAGAAGAAGATGATGTATTTGACCGCCAAGAATGCAGGTCAGGCTCGTCGCGTGTTTGCTACCGTCATTTTTGATACCTGAACCCTAATAACAATGCTGTGAACTAGAGTTTGACAGGCACGAGCTGCAGATCTACGAAGAAGTGGCCAAGGTTCCACCATTCCAGAGAAAGACGCTAGTTCTAATTGGTGCGCAGGGCGTGGGCCGACGAAGCCTCAAGAACCGGCTGATGGTCCTTCAGCCCACCCGCTTCGGAACCACTATACCATGTACGTCATAAAGGGCACTTGGATTCTGAGAACCTCAACATCATGCAGAGTTCTTTCTAACTAATGCGACTTTGCGTTGGTAAGATACAACTCGGCGCCCCCGCGACGAGGAACTGGACGGCAACTCGTACCACTTCACTTCCAGGACAGAGATGGAGGTAGACGTGAAGGCCGGCCGCTTCCTGGAGCACGGCGAGTACGACGGCAACCTGTACGGCACCAAGATCGAGTCCATCCACGAGGTGGTGGCGGCCGGGCGGACGTGCATCCTCGACGTCAACCCACAGGTCAAAAGAGAGACAGAGAGTTTGACATTGAAAATTGAAACTGGGCCCACAGGATACTGATGTTTGTTTTTTTTGTGGGCTGCCCGGTGTTCACTTATAAACATCCCTGTAATCTTCGTGGCATTCATTTATCAGTTTTTACTTTTTTTTTTTTTTTTTTAATTTAAAATAGTAAAAAGTTTCACGGTGATTTCACTTCTGGTTTCTCCTTCCAGGCTCTGAAGGTCCTGAAAACGGCAGAGTTCATGCCTTACGTGGTGTTCATCGCCGCACCCGACTTCGACACTCTCAAGGGCATGCACACAGCCGTCGTGGACGCGGGCCTCACCACCAAACAGCTCACGGTACGCAAAACTCCATTTGAGTCTACAGCAGAAGCGGGCAAACACTTCACTTTCACTGGTCCGCGTTTAGTGTGGGATACACCATATCCCCAAACAGCTCAATTTTGTCCCCGTGTGGATATATCCCTAAATTCTATGTTACCCGCCGGTCAGTCTTTGTCCACACTTGACCTACGCCAACACGTTAATGCCTACTCCCATTTATTAACTTCAAGTCACCGTTGGCAGGACGTGGACCTGAGGAAGACGGTGGATGAGAGCGCGCGCATCCAGAGGGCTTACGACCACTACTTTGACCTGACAATCACCAACGACAACCTGGACAAAGCCTTCGACACGTTACAGGCCGCCGTAGACAAACTGCGTGCTGAATCTCAGTGGGTCCCAGTGAACTGGGTGTACTGAGGACCCCCTCGGCCTGCGCACGCGTAAGTGTGTCCGTTTGGGCCCGGAAGGAGGAGGAACACGAGGATAACCAAGAGCTACTTCTGTAAAACAAGACAAATATTCTGGTTGAATTTGAACACTCTCCGTCCTCGTGGCCACGCACACCACGCAACTTTTTTCTACTTCGACTCAAAGGGAAAGAGTGCTTATTTATTATATAACTTTTTATTAAAGCTCTTTCTATACGATGTGGAAGTGCAGCAAAGAATAAGGGGCATCTTGTATTTTTTTTTTTCTTTCTATGTCTATGTTTCAGTTTGCTGTCCATGTTTCATCATCAGATCCATCTTTTTTCTGGTGATACCAGAGGGCTTAATTTTGTTTTTGTGTGTGGAGAAAAGTCATACTTGTTCACGATCAAACACTGTTCATTTTTTTTTTGATAGTTTTTGTTGAACGTGGTTATAGTTTTGAGTGTACTTTTTTGTCATAAATGATTCTGCCTGCCTGCCTGGAGCACATGACCTTCACACTGTCCTCATCTTCAAGCCAACGTGTTCATGTTTAACATATGTGAAAGTCGCGAAAATTCTACACTACAACCTTAAGAGGAAACCTCTCGTAGACTGCAGAAAATAATCGTTTCACTTACATGTACGTCTATTTGTTAAAAGTGAAATTGTTCATGTTTTTCCTTTTTTTAATTCCCAGTGCCACATTGTAGGAAACCCGCTGCCTGTTGAACGGGTTTTCATCACTCTGTCAAAGGATTTGTTTCTACATTTTTACCTGCAAAGTTAAGATGAATAAAGGTGACTGCATTTCAACAGCTGGTTTTATGAGCTGTCAACTCATTTGGGAGTTTACTATTTACAATAAATCAAACAATGACATAAAGGAACAAAAAACAATAGGATTGAACAATTTGGGGGGTGTGGGGTGCTAAATGAATGCAATAAATATTTACAGGACGGTAATGTAAATGCTTGATTGACCGGAAAAAAAGAATTTAGGTGGTTAGTAGGTGTGGCCCATGAGCCATGCTTTGCTAACCCATGTCCTGGACGGCACTATACAACACATAAACCAAGAACTTCCTGTGGAAAGTATTAAGGCAATAATTTGACTTTTTTTTAACTAGCTTAAAATACAACCGCAAAAGAGAACGGCAAGGAATTCCCAACATTCTACATTTTTTTTTCAAACAAGTTTTTTTTATTAAAGAATGTAACTTACAGTCAAGCCAAGGAAAGAACTACATGAAGTGATACGTATTCACATTGTGTCCTAACAGGGTTTTACAGCATATCTTGTGTTCTGTAAGCGTAAATGTCGACAAAAAAAAAAGAAAAAAAAACAGGAAACATAGAAATTAAAAGCTTTACAAACTTTACAACACCCCAAAAAGAGAAAAGGAGCTTTCGCAAGTGGATGAAGGAATTCAAAATCAGCAATATATAAAGACCCGTCACCCACTCCCTCCCTTTACCAGAATAGGAATGACTGCAAATTCACTTTTGGCATGTCATGGTTTAAATAAGGGAGAAGATAAGAAGAGAGAACACACAAATTAAGGGAGGTTTGAATTCACATGGCCGTGCGGGCTGGCTTTGGTCGGTTTCTTTGTATTGGCTGAGTGAGAGATGGACAGAAAAATGGATTTCCTGGTATCAGCTGCACGATTGAATAGTGGACCGTCAGTGAGAACACGAATGGGCTAACTCCTTTGCTCTCATTTTTTTTCCAGTGAAGTGTAGAAATGAATCTGGAGAACGCATGTTTTCAGCTGAATACTTGTCATAGGGTTGGGTATGTTTTTTTTCTCCCTTTGCCCTCAATATAGCCCATTATTGCATTGTGGAATTTTTTTTTTTTGGCTTCGGTGCCCGCACATCTGCATGTAAGTACAAGTGAATGTCATTTATTTATCATGAAATTTGGACAAGATTTGACGGATATTCTTTACGCGTAATTTTACTTTATGGCAGCAGCCATGAAGTCTTGCGTTACATCCCCACAAAAAAAAAAAAAAAAAAAAAAAAAAAAAAAAAAAGTTAGCCCATTCTTGTTCTTGCGGAGGAGCCCATGATTGTCGAAGGTAAAATGTATATGCCAACCAACTCTTGAGGAGATGTGAGGTTATTTTCAGACAATGTTGCTTTTGGGACTACAAAGACAGAAAACTGGGGAACATCCGACGAGATAACTATAACGCGGCCTCTTAAATTCAAACCTCCCCGCGGGGGTAGGGAGAGGGGAGGGAGATAGAATTTTATTGGACATATTGAAGTACACTAAAGAAATAAGTGAATGCAGCATATATCAGGCTTATGAGGTACTTCATGAATGGATGTATAGATCTATATATGTGTATAGCTATATATATATATATATTTTTTAAAAATCAGATCAACCTTTTTTAAATTGAATTTGAAGAAGTCATATTCCTACTAATAGCATAAAATACCTCGATTTTCATTACTTTGCGGCCGACTTCAAGTGGGCCGTGCTGGAGACCGCTTCAAAAGTGCAAAACACAAATACTGATCGATCTATACGCAGCATCTATGGGCCAGATTGCCACGTCTCATGGCGGTAAGGAGGGGGGGGACCAGAAAAAAAAAAAAAAAAAAAAAAAAAAACGGCAAACCGGTAGCGGCACTCGGAGAAGTGAGCAGTTTCGACAACCTCGCGGACGTTTTATTGAGTTAACGATGGATTGCTTGGCTGTGGAAAGTGGTTGTGCGTAGAAAAGGAATCTTGTTTTTATTGCAGTACTGGCTGGACCGTGGCAGGAGGAAAGCTTATTGTAACGTGGCGGTAAAACAAAACAAAAAAAAAAAAGACAACGGTTACCAAATACTGGCTCGTATTGAGCCAAAAGGCCTTAAGATGAACGGATGACGACACGTCTCGACTTCAGGTTGGAAACTCGGAAATTTCCGAAGCCTCGTTTCTACCAAGCAGTTAGTTCATTTCTGTATGGTTGAATTTCCATTTTAAAGGGTCAGTTCTTTGAAACACCGCTTGCGTTTCAGCGGTTTTTGCTCGTCGGTACAACGGAGATTTTTTTTGATGCTATTTGTGAGACTTGCTTTCTCATACGACTGCATGACTTCCCATGCTCAGGTTGAATTTACACGGCATGGTTCAAGTGACAATTCCGATATTTCGCTTTCGAGTGGCCCAATAAATGACTTCATAACGCAAATGCTCAATGGAATAAAATATTTTTACGATCAGGACGCGGACAGAAATTCAATGCATATCGAATTCTGAGCAAAAATAAGTAAATAGATTTGAAATATTGTTTGTTTATTGCTCTTTTGTGGAGTTGTGCAAGGTGACATTTTTTTTTTTTGTCAGCGAAAACACCACCATGTTGAATACGACTCATATGAAATGTACCTATTAAATGTAATGGTAATGTTAAAAAAAATGGATGGAAAAAAGAGCTAATTGGGCACTTTGATCTGCAGTGTGAATCCATCCTTTAAATCCATTGAAACTTGGTCCCTTGGCATTGTCAATGCTTTCTCAATCTAACAGTGCTCGCACATGATATGAACTTGTATCGTTCACTACAATATGGGATTTGTTTTTTCCTGTTATTGTAAATCAAGGCTAATATGTTAGCTAGCACCGCACTGTGCTCTGAGGTAGGTTATTTTTTTTCCCCCCAAGCTGGTAAAAAGAAGCCTAAAATCCTAAAATCCTTCTTTATAAGTAGTATTTTATTTGAATAATAAAACATTTTTCCAATTTGTACTTACATTGACGCTGGCCATGAACACATCAAGAGGACCATGTGGCTTAGTTTGGAGAACGGAGGTGGACTAAAATGACGCTTGCGAAAAGTTGTGCTGTTTCAATCAGACGGGAAATAAAATTGCAGTACAATCAGCAAATGTAAGAATAAAAATAATCTATCAAGAGATTGACTCGTGAATAAAAACAAAAAAGAGAGGTGAAGAGAAGTCAAGGACAGCTTTTAAGAGGGCGGCAGTATCGAGACTGCAGGCTAACGATCACAAGGCCAAAACGTTTAAAAAGGAGCTAATTAAAAACCTCACCAAAACAACCAACAGAAATACATAAACTGCTTGCGCACACACACAAAAAAATAAAAATAATTTGGGACCTGAGAGAGTCCACTGAAATATCACCATGAATACGTGCTGTATAGTTCTGCAAGGGGACACACACCTAGTCAAAGATGAATATTACTTTTAAGAACCCCTATTAAATAAGAAAGCAATCCCCAGAGAAATACAAAAAATAGGCCACACACACACACACACACAAAAAAACAAAAAAAAAAACAAACGAATTAGAAATGTAAAAAGGTGGCTAAATGAAATATTACAAACCACACAGGAGCTATAAATACATTCATTGTTACCTGGAGCTAGCTAGGAAAATGGGTTGTAGCGTAGTAGCGCTAGCACAGAGAGAAGACGCACAACTATCCAACGGTAATGCTTTGGGCACACCTAATTAATATACAGACGACCTAGCTTCGGTCAAAAACCTGCTGGAATGATCAAGATAAAATGTTATTGTCCACATGACATCATTTGCGCCGGAGACAAAGAGCTGCTATCGTGAAATGACATTTCAATTAGCTTATGTTAGCCCGTTGGTCTGTCTGTCCTAGTTCAGGGACACCCAAAAGCAGTCCAACTAAGGTGAAAATGTGCATTTAAGTTACAAAGATGCAAAAATGTAAATAATGATCAAAAAAGAATCAGGGGAATAGGATGTATGCAGCCCTGGCGTCGGTAAACTTATCGAGCTATCCCACGTTTAAGTAGGCGACGGCCATTACGCTGGAGCCCCGCAAGCTTTATCATCATTATCGAGTTCATTTTAGGTCTCAAGCTTGTGGCTAAGTACAGTGAAACAAAAGGATGTGGCTGTACTTGCCGACGGATGCCACAAGATGACGAGCGGCAAAAAGCACCACATGAAGCTCCTCAATGCACTTCAATGCAGTTCCTGACGTCACGATCCCTCAACTTACTTTAATGCGGCGCCAAAGCAATATCGTTATAAGACAGCGGCAAAGTGAATTTGGGAACACTCAAGAACGAGAATATGGAGGTTCGAGAGTGGATATGAATTTTAGGGATGAGCATTTTTTAAATTGACTGATTGTTCATTCCATTAACTAATTTGTGGTCAAGGTCAGCGATTCCCAACCCGTGAGTCATGGCCTATTAGTGCATCTTTTGAAGTGGCCAGACCAGTTATCCAATTTCATGTCATTGGTCCAAAACATATGCTATATTTATCCCAAATGAGATACATTTATTCCGATACTGGCATCAAAACAGAAGTACATTCAGAGATTCTCGCATCCCTTTCCAGATTGAGACACGAGTGGATTTCACCCGCAGTCCCTTCGAGGAAATGGCATTAAACGTCCATCTCAATTGAACGCGTCAAAACTCAAACATCGAGAGATTGGTTCACATGAGAATGGAGGAGCGTTTAGAAAATGTCGAGAACCCGTTTTTGTTGGTCTCCATACGGTTGGGATCGTCATGATACCGAGCTCATCAGTGCCAATTCAACTTCTCCATCTCTGCCGCCGTAATGACAATTCGTCCAACGCTTTCTCCATTTTTAAAAAGGCATCGGGATATTTGTGAAAAACGCAGGAGCTGTCGGACTAAGGCTATTTTTTGGCTCGGGCCTGCTCGGCGACAAAAGCCAACTACTGCTTTCTTTCGGAATACAAACAACCTCGGCCACCAGCCGACGACTATCCTAAATGCTGGGCGGGGGCTACAAAATCATTTCTTGTTTTAGTGCAAAACAAACATCGTCAAAAGTTTGGACTTGATATATTTAAAGGAAACGCGATTACGTTGTGGCATTATAAGGTGCTGGTATAGTAGTAGGTCAAGTCAAACACCAAGACAGACAAACAACAAGTACAAAAGCTTTTTGGGAAGAGACATTTCCCATCCAAATTCTTCCTGGTCATTGTTCAGCGTGAATAGTAACGATATGGAATGGAGGGCGGGGGGGGTTGAAGTGAACTTACAAACTGGTCTTTTGCAACCTCTTACCAGAGGAAACCAACGGCTGGATGTATAGTTCACCGTCGGACACATGCTCTGTTCAACCATTTATTTAGCAGGCGGTGAGGTGGCCACGCCTTTAAATAATAGATTGTGAACAGACGCTGCGTTGTCCTAGCCCCTCGGTGGGTTCTGTCTGAAAGGCACGGGTAAATAACTTCCGAATTTTGAGCGCAAAAGGGGGTACTGACATCAAACAGGTGGCTTGAGAAGACTTGGAACACTTGTGAGTCAGTCCAACAAAAGCAAAGTGACACACAACTCCTTCCCAACTCCTGAAGTGGAACGCGTAAAGACTGCAAATACTTGTGACCAGACTATGGGTCAAGTCCAAAAAGCCAGACCACAACATCGCCGTTGGTGTCCGCCCCGAGAACCAATCTGAACACACCGATGCGGACGCACTTGATTTCAAAATGACTCACAAGGCATGACAGTATGCGGGAACTAAACCGATCTGAACCGAACAACACAAACATCCATTCCTATGATTTTTTTTCACTATCCGCTGATTTTCAGGTTTTAAGTGTTTAAGCCAAATGACAGCGACAGGACGACCTACTATTGTCGTAAATCTTAAGTAGAAATAGAACAAGGTGTCAAAAAGAAAGACTTTTACATCACCGGTGCATAGACAATGGCTAAAAAGGGAAAAGCTGTGTGCGAGTAGTGACGCACTTCAAGAATTTGGTCGTGCAGCTCGACGCTAAAACCCCTTGAAGGAAGAAAAAAAACACAATCCCGTTCCGCAATATCTGTTGAATTATGAAAACACAAAAAGTGTGTTCACTGCCACGCACACAAAAACGGGACTCACAAAAATTAACTCAATGCCATTTAGATCGATAGCATGGGCAATTATGCAGAAATGGCCAGCAGTGTGATGTTACCATAACACTTGAACAGGTAACAAGAGGTAGAACACAAAGCCATTTCCATACAATTACACCAGTGTCATAATATGGCCAAGACAATTTCTCTCTCTCGCTCACTCACACACACAAACAAACCTACTGGAGCTCATACCAATGCTATGCTATCAAAAGTGCATCCACGTGTACATGCTTTGAGACGAGCACCAAGAAGTACAATATTGACATCAACAGGAAATATCAAGTACACGGTGTTCTGAATGCCCCGCAAACACAGTCAGTCGGATTTCTGGTGGGAAGATGGCAAGAATAAGTCTCAATTATTTTCCTTTAGCATTGCAACCATAAGTCTCGTGTGAAAACAAACAACCAACCCAAAAAAAAAAAAAAAACCTGTGGGCCGGTCTAGTGAGATGGTTTGTAGTGAAAACATCTCACGCAGGGGTTTCTTTTTGTGCTTTTGAATGTTTATTTGTAAGGGTTTTTTTTTAATCTTATTTGGCTGAGAGCAGACCAAATTGTCCAGCTGTATAAAAATCAGCAAAGCTACAAAGGACGTGACTAAAAGCGACATGATTACAAACGACTAAAAGCGCCACCTACATCTATAAAAACTCCAGATTGGGGTGAGAAGCCCCTCTGCTAAATCTCATCATTTAAAAACAATGCATAGTTCGAAGTTGAGACGTCATCGACTCCATTCAAGACGACGAAGGCGAGCGAGCTTCAACTCGATCGAAGTGGACAAGAGAAAATGTCCGCAGAATGACTTGAGACTGCTAAGAGTCTTGAAAGGCAAGAGAAGATTTGCATTGGACTCTCGACACAAATAGTGTTACTTTAGATTATCGGTGGCCCTGTTGTTAAAAAAAAAAAAAAGTTTTTTTCATTCCAAACCCAAAAAAAAAAAAAATTTGTTTCGGCAGTCTCCACTGAAGATTCATTCAAAATATAGCTCATTTTCAACATCATAAAAAGACTCAGAGAAAGTCATTTGCATAAAAACAATGCTTGTGTGTGCGACAACTCCTTTCGCTTCCAGGAGGAAATACTTGCAGTTGTTTTTGAAGGAATTTGCTCTCAAAGCTTTCAGACCACTGTACCGAACGCATCGCTATGGAAACGCCACATCAACTCCCTCCTCTGACAACGACGCTGCAGCTTCCACACATATACACTGTATATATATATACTGGATACTTATACAACCAAAATAGAGTACGGGTTAAAATGTACATGTATCAAGGGAATTTGGGGGGGGCGTCTAAGTTTCTAGAATAGGAGCTGGCTACATGCATATTCATTAGAAAGTTTGACTGAAATTAAAAACATTCTAGAAAAAGACATGGGAGTGGAAAAAAAAGTGTTTCTGCTCCCTATATTGATTTGTACATCGTGCGTCTTATAAACACGGCTCAGAGTACATTAAAAAAAAAAAGGTTTGTTTTCTGGGAACCGGTCCCAAGAGGGGATTTCAGCACGGCCGTTGGGATGAGAGAACAAACTCATCAAAACAGACAACTATGTTGTATCTCTGAAAATATTAAGAGCCCTGGAAGTGTTGGTTCAAGAGTTCATGTCAAGAATCAAGAGGGGTTAACTGTCCCACATTTTGGCGTATCATGGTAATATGGGACGAATACTGAATTTAAAAAAAAAAAAAAAAAAAATGTGGCTAAACACACATGATCAAATGCGGTCTCAGAATGGCACTTTCATCATTTTCAGAGTGCCCGATGTGAACGTCACAAGTACTTTCATCTTGATTCAAGTACCCATTCTTGACAGCGCACTTGGCTGGTCAATAATGTGCGCCCAAGGAACAAATGAAAGTGCCCCCTCAAATAGCATTTTTAAAAAATAAAATAAAAATAGGGGAGGTGAGGTGCCGCTTCTAATTCAGAAAGCACCACTTGGAATAACAATACTTTCATATTTTCCGACAGGGGGGAAAAAAAAAAATAAACCCCGTGTAGAGGGCTTGTTTTTGCAATTTACAGAGAGTGGATTCGGCTTGGGTACCTGCCAGGTGTTTTAGATAGGGAGCTCACACAGTAAAAGCACACAGCTGACAGCCGGGCAGCAAAGAGGGTAGTGCGTTTCCTCAGCAGGGGGGTCCTTGGCCCACGTCAACCCGGCGGCCTGCGGTCTCAGGCGAAGTACATTGTGCGCAGGGTGTCCTGGTGGATCTGAACGGCTTTGGCCAAGGCTTGTTGGTCACGCCCGTTGCTCTGACCTGATGTGTGGCTGCCTTCGGCACTGAAAAGTGAGAGATCCACAAGTGGTTATCATGTGGTCACGGTATGCACGATGGGCTGCGGACGCACCGGCCAGCGGCCGCTGTCATCCTCACCTGTCGTGCTCTTTGTCCACCAAGTGATAGCGGGCGCGAAAAGCCACCAAATGGGCATAGTAGGCTGGCGCCGGAATGGAAACGGAGCGGGTGCAGCGCACGTAAGTGTGGCACAGCTGATACGTAAGCACCTGCAGCTCGTCGGAAGAGAAGTGATTGTCGTCCCAGAGCACGTGGTAGTGAGACGGCCTGCTGGTACCCTGCACAGTTGGGACAGTGATGATGCGGCGTCCGTCCTCGCGGTGGGACACGTTCACAGAAATGCCCACAAAATGCACATGGATGCAGTTGATTTTTTTTTTTTTTAGCAGCCAGAAAGTTTTGATCATGCTTGTAGCGATAATAAATTCCGCAGGCATGGGGGAGGGGGGGACCCAACCTAAATTGACTGATTGTAAAGCTAATTAATGTACTAATGAATTAAGAATTATTTTCGGAAAATACCTGCCAAATCAAAACACTGTGGAGATAAAATAATTAACACTCTTTTTCTCTCTAGTCTAATCTGAGAAACAGCAGGCCTCTGTAGCACCAGATAACTTATTTTTGCAACAACATCTTGTACAATGATTGTAAAGTTTTTAATTCACTGGCTCTTACAGCGTGTACACCGCTTTGTATAGGTTTGCATCTCAACATGGGTTCAAAAATGTGATGGGCCAGTCATCAGTGAAATCCTATTTTACCTGTATGCCAGCATGACTGCAAAGGTAGAAGTCAAATTCGGATGGGTGAGTGATTTTGGTGTCCACTGTGGTGCCTGCGGGAATGTTGCCACTCTTTCCAACCTGCGCAAAAGCAGCAACACATTTTACTCAGCGCATGGTAAAAGAGAGATAATTCCTCAAGGTTAGCATGACAAAAGCCATAATACTGACCCTCTCGTTTCGGTCTGTGCAAAACAGCCTGGTGTGGTGTCTCTTCTGGACTACTACAAAGGTGATACCAGGCTGGTAGTCTTTCTCCAGCTTGATGCAGGCCTCTCGGATTGCAAGCAGTTCATGCTGAAGAACCTGCAGGTGGAGAGAATTTGAGACAATATCCAAAAAAGAAACTTTTTTCGTCTCACTCATATTTGCGTATTATGCCCGCTCCGTGTATCACCTGGTTGAACTGTCCTTCGGAGATGCCATCCCGGTAGTAGATGATTCTGGTCGGCTTGAAGCGGGTCGACTTGTAGAATTGGATGAGCAGCTCTCTCACCATGGTGGCCAGGTCCTGGATGATATCCTGTCGGTGCTGCTGGACCCGAACGGTGGCGCAGTATCGGCTGGGGTGGGCGTCCATGCTACCGACAACCTGTGGAGGACAATTTTGAGGTCCAGTGAGCAATTCAGTTCAGGAATATAGTGTAAACCATGAGACGTTTCTTACAGCTGCAATGGAGGGCTTTTTTCCATCTCCTGCAGGAGGATGAGTTACATCGGCACCAAGAAAGATGACAGGCTGCTGAAACACCAACGGCCTAAAATAAAATATTCGGGCAGAAGCATAAGCTAAGGCACAGAAACAGTTGTAAATACTTCGGCATTTGCCGCATTAAATTTCAACTATATTGCGTAGGGATTCAGTTTTGTTGGGTTGAACTATTTTGAAAAGTAAACTAATCCGCATATTTTCCCCTCAATATTGTAATTGCAATTTTTTTCTTCAAAAAGCCTCTTCGCATGTTTTTTTTTCTTTTTAACAACACAAGCAATAAATAACATCCAATGTATTATGAATGTTTTGGTCTGACAGGTTTACACTCAAATAAAGGCAGATGAGCAAAAAGTTTTTCCTACGATAACTAGGATGGTTAAATTGCAAAACACTGACTCGTAGTTCGCCACATCAACTTCACTAAAACTTACTCAACAAGTGTGGTGCAAACAAAGTCATTGTCATAAATGTATGAATTCAAATCAATCTGTGGAATAAATATGTGGACTGCACTCCTTAAGAACTCAACTTTGATTAAATGCCCAGCCACAGTGGCATGTAAAAAAATAAAATAAGCAACCGCTAGTTGGTGTACTTTTAAGAGATGCATCTCCACTGACCGTCCCTGAGGAAGCAGGATGTTGTTGACGCCACCCAGCTTGACATTGATCTTCAGACAGAGGTTGGAGAGGGTCTGCGGTGTCGTCTTCTGGACATTCTTCACCTGCACGCACTGGGTGGCCATCCCAAGGACTGTGTCTCCGACACGCTTCACCTCGGCTACAATCCGAATGAATTGAATGTGACCACACAACACAGCATGAACTGAAGTAAGGTTGCAGAAATGTGTGGCTGGATCCCTCACCGTAGACGGGCGTCTTTCCTGGTAAGATGACAACAACCAGCTGGAGGCCCTGGTATGTGTACTTGAGGTGTCTGAACATGGGCTCCACGCTATCGGCACCCTGGGCATACTTACAGAAGCAGGGCTGGCCCTGAATGGGCATGCCTGCATCCCGGGAGATCTTCCTGAGCTGATCTGTGAACGCTCTAAAACAGCCGATTTTTTTTTTTTTTTTAACCAGTTCAGAAAAAGATGTCTCTGTACATGATACTACAAACACTCCGAGGATGTTACTCACTTAAGTAAGAGTTCAGTGCACTGTCTCTGTGGTGCAAAGCAAGCGATGGCCCACACTTTGATTTCGATGCCAGTGTGGAACTGCTTGTTCCTCATGTCCCAGACGCCCTGGATTGGCGTGGCTATCGCCTTGTTCTGGAAGCAACAATAAAAGCAAGTGCTGTCACGATATTCTCGCGAAGCCATCTGAAACAATCACTGTACTTACAACTGCTGATGGACATACCCTGCCTCCATACAGAATGGAGGGTGCTTGGAGGACACGGCCGTTCACTTCCGTCATCTCGTCCCTCACCATCACTCCGAATTCGCGAACGTATGGGTCAGTGTTGAAGTTGGCGCTTCTCATCTGGACACAAGCACGTGTGCATTTTCGATGGTTTGACTATGGAGTTCTCAAAAAAAACAGCATTCCCCCATTAAACACAATCTATCAGATTTTTTAACAAAATAGAGAATATTTAGTACAGATGAAATGTTTACCGTGTTAAGTTTAAACACAGAAAGAACATTAACATTCTTCTTCAGTTTAAATTCTTAGCAAGTCAGTGTCCCATCACTGGTGAGCTATTTTTAGAACAGAGCAATGTGGGAGTCAAGTTGTCTTTGGGGATAACTAGTACACCCTGGCACCATTTTTTTAGGACAATGCACACTAACAAAGCAAAAAAGGGACTGTGTTTGCACAGGCTTTCCTCTTGCTCCCTGTCCCTCGTCCACTGTGCGCATCTCACCCCTCCCTGCTCGTTTAGAAAGATGAAAAAAAAAAAGTTAACTGGAGGGAACTGAATTCAACTCTGCACGCAGCCAATAATGTAGAACCCTGCTTGGACATTCCCTCAAAAAAGAAAAATAATTAATTGCATGTGACAGAATCAGCGGTAATTGAAACCTTGACTTTTTAAAACCACGATAAACCATCAAACCGGTAATAGTCTTATGCCTAGTCTCAACTCTTCGGGACCTTGGAAAAAGTCAGAGCTTCACAAGAGGCCGTTACAATTGGTTGCATTAATTCCTAAAAGCACGCATGGTTGAGCAAAAAGCTGAACTCATCAAATATTTCACTCACCAGTTTACTAATTTCATCCTGACGGTCAGGTGCTGATCTAGCAGTGGCACGGATCATCGTAGAGGTCTGATTGTCTGTCAGTTTTTTGATGCAGCGCTGTCCTGCAACTATGTTACACACCTGGGAAGACACACAACAACAAGCTTGAGAAAAATAGGAGGTGGATGAGCTTCTACTTGGCTGCGTTGGTAGTTACTCACTTCTAGAGGCAGGTAGGTGTGCTTTTGCTCCTGCCCCACTTGTAGACACGGCAGGTGAGGGTATCGCAGCATGAGTTTGTATTTATCTTTGAAGTACTGCGCCACGGTGCACTCAATAGTTTGGCCGTTCTCCTGCTGCAGGGGGAAGCTGACGGGGGAGAAAACACTGCATGACTTCCATGACGCACATTTGACTTTTCCACTGCGCCATACGTGCACAAATCAGAAGCCGAGGACAGGTTCACCCCCCCCCCTGCATTTCTGTTGCTAGGTCATGGATTATATTTGGATTTATGACACTTAAGCAAGAATACACACAGCAGAGGGAGATTAAAACACACACACCAAGAGCAAAAATAAATAAAAATCCAAGATTATTCTTACGTTTGATGGCTTGCTGGTCTTCTGGTCACATTGCACACTCTGTATTTCCTCTTCATCTGTCCACAATGTGTGATCTCCACTTTCAGGCCTGGAAGGAGGAATTGCGTTCAAGATTTGTGATTCCAAGTAATGTAGACACTGACAAATACGAGTTGTCCACAAAAAAAAAAGACACCCTTACCTTTAATTTCTTTGGTGAATTTAACTCTTTGAGAGTCCGTTAAGGGCTTCTGTTGTTCTTCGATGCTTTTGAAATCCAAGACCTCACACATGAACTCAATTACAGGCTGAGCTTTATAGAACGCAGTGGCCGAAACTGCAAAAAAAAAAAAAAAAAGTTAAAAAAAAAAAAAAAAAATAATAATAATAATAATGAAAACATTAAAGAACAAAATTGATTAGAAGTTACATTCGTAGAAATGACTTCAGGACACTGACAGTATAAATTTACCATCAATATTGAGCATCATTTTCCAAAGGGAAGGCCTGACAGATTGGTGGAAGCCAAACCACACCTCTCTACCGCCACCCAGTGGGTTGGAACAGCCCTCTGAGGGAGTGAAGAAAGAACGACCCACTGGAGTATACCTAAAAGGGGGGAGAAAAAAAATCACATAAAGTCGAGAAATTGGATGGCTCCAATCAAGACTGAATAAAGGAATAGTTTTTGACAAGTCCGACAAACTGGAGTGCGTAAATGTTGTGGTCGTAGTAAGCCACTGAGCGTCCTCCATTTTATTTTTATACATTTATATATTCCAATAAAATTTTTTAAAAAAATGATTAGGTTTCAATAATAATGTCAGCTCAAACACAAACTGGTTTTAAATAAATGACACTATTTAACGTAAACTGGCATAACTTCATCAAAATTAAACACATACTGTACCAATTCTGCCTATGCTGTAATCTCAATGTAATGAAATGTCACCATGATACAGATAAAATTGTGATCTACGTTCTGCGTACTAAGAATCAGAAATAACGTTTTGGGGCGTACCTCATAGAGGGCAAATGTCTCATGACCACATCCAGAGCTTGGATGGTCTCAAACGGGACACTGGGTAGCCGCCCTGACAGCGCCTCATGCAGAGCTTGCAGGCTCACGCACGACACCCACTTGATGGAGACTTTGAAGCTGCGGTCTTTGCCCTCCCCTGGAATGGTCACCTCAAGCTCCACCTGCGGAGATCATGAAGGGATAAGTTCTCCCAAGGCGCATATCCTTGACGCCCTTTAAAAAAAATAAATAAATAAATATAAAAAAAATGGACAAACCTTGTCTCTGCCTATTGGCAAGGGCATGGCTGTGTACAGGTTCTTCCTGCCATCATACACTGGCTTTCGATCCCCAAAGATCTGGGTTTTAAAGTGCTGGACCATGTGCTCCACAATTTCACTGAGAAGGGGGAGAAGAGAAAAAAAAAAAAAGACGCCCCCTTAGATTTGAAAATGTAATTGAAAAGAAGCCAGCACAATCTGGTACGCACCGGTTGACCCTCCTGGGACATTTCTCCGGCTTGATGTCAATATCATAATGGTACACTTCCAGTTTGGGGATTTCCATCTCAAAGAAATTGGCCTGAAGCTTGATTGTCCTGCCCATGGTGCCAAAGTCTGGCCTTGAGGGTGGCTTGAACACATATTCTGGCACTGGGGATGAGGGCGGCTCTATAACAGAAAGCGACATGCAGTTAAAATAACAGCAAGTTATTCAAGGCTGCTTTTCCTTTGGTCAGCAGTGGCGTGATTTGGGACGCTCAGTTTTCCACGAGTATTTCAGAAAAGGGTGAAAACTGTCACATTGAAGGCAGCGGGAGAACAACGCTCTCTATCTTCACCCCACACCTGTCCATAACATTGCTGATTAGACTTAATTGTTCACTGACTTCTTCCAATCAGTTTCTGACGATATTAGGGAACTTCGTTTACTGCTACTCTTTTAACACTCGTGATAACACCGTGGCATTGAAACCTCTACAGGCCAGTGTGTCATGAGTTACACACACCTTCAAGAGGGTTGGCATGAAAATGAAGGCATATGTTTTGCAAACGCGACACGCCCAGACAATTTGAGCAGAGCAAAATAAAAAAAAATGTGATGGAAATAAAATAATTGTGACACACTAAGGTAGGAATAAATTTATATATATTCTTCTCTGAGGAAAAAAAAAATATGTTGAAATTACAACAACTTTGAAGCCCACCAGCGCGACAGATTGGAATGTGATGAACTTTGGAGAGTTCAATTTGAAACTCCAGGCTGGCACAATATATTACACTGCCAAATGGCGGTCTGACTGGTTTGCATAAAATTCTCCTTCAGGTTTTTGCTAGCGCATAAAGACTAGACCAGCAAAACCTGAAACCAACCAATCTGATAAATGCAGTTCTACATTCTAGGGCTGAACAATTTTGAAAATGAAGGTACTGTAATTGCAATTTTTCCCCCTTGAGATTGCAATTGCAATTTAATATGGGATTTTTTTTTTTTGTTTCAAGGTCCTCTTTCCGTGTATTTTTTTTTTTTTTTTTCAAGGTCCTCTTCCCATGTATTTTTTTTTTTTTTTTTCAAGGTCCTCTTCCCATGTATTTTTTTTTTTTTTTAAACCAACACAAGCAATAAATTGATCACCATCCGACCAACATGAAGCAGGCTTTTTCCCCCCCTCAAAATTGTAACCTCTGCATTTAAACAAAAATTGCATTCCACTGCATTGAGATGTCAATTTACCAAAAGTCCAGCTGGGCAATGCATAAATTTAAAGGAACTTACCAGAGCTCGCTGACCCAGAAGAACGTGGCCCCTCAAACATCTCTGTAGCTAAACATGAAAAAGATATGTTAAAAATGACATTATATAGATTTTTAGTGTTTGTCTCATACAGGTTGTACAAATACATGAATGAATATATCTGTTATCAATACGAGGCCAGAGGGACCACAACAAGCTGTTAATCTGAAGAAGTGGGAGCCACCCATTCCACTCCAGATAAATTTAGTGTTGAAGTGCAAGTACTTAAATGTCAAAGCAATCCTTGATTATGCGTCGATAGAAGAAATATTTTGAAACAATTACAACAAAAAAATACACTTGTTAGTCGTGATGGGTATATGCAAGTTACTCGTGGAAAAAAACATCACATAATGCAGAGCCATTCTGAACTAATTAGGTCAACTATAACTCCACGGCAGCAATGTTTGTCTGTCACCCAATTAGACCAAACCTTTATTTATCACAAATGCACGCGCGCACGGGATTTAGTAAAGTGTATGTAACATAAGCGTATTTATATCTTTACCTCAGCTAAAATTGGTGATGAGATTAGATGGCACGATCAGGCGCTAAATATTCCTCCAAACAAAATTCACCCGCGATACACAATCATCATAATTGATCTGGTGAACGTTAACTAAAATGACACGTACAAATAAACACGATACTTTATTTCACATCCAGTCCCAAACTAGTATTTGGAAGATTCCAAGTTTCGGAGAACGAGGTTGGCTCGAAGCTAACTTGGCTAACAGCAGCTTGTTGTTGCACGCTAAGCTTGCTCGCCAATTACTGCTGCACGTAACATTGAACCGATGTTCAACGATTTGGGTGAACTAGCTTGCTAAAACAATCAACTAATAATTTCCCTCGGTGCTGAGTAAAAAATAAGGCGAAATTCTTGACGGTTGTGTTCACTTTCGGCAACTATGATTTAGCTGACGCTCGTATTAGCTCGTACCACTTACCTCCACCAGTGGGATACATTTTGTCGACTTTTAAACCCCTGTCGTGGCCGTAAAAATGCTCCACTTCACGTCGGCGAATTCCAAGAAAAAGTCATGCGTGGTGGGAAAAGCAGTTCGGTAAAAAACATGGGTATGTGAGTTGGGAAATTGTTATATTTGCAAAATATTTAGAGTCGCTCATCCTCAGCGCGGCCCCATCCCCCCAACTCACAAACACTAGCCGAGTGCGAAGCTAGCACAGAAAGGAGCTCGGCATCCACAGAGAATACCCTTGTGCTTACTTCCGGCTTCGGTTACGCCCTCTTTGGTTCAACCTGTTGCGCTTTTATCACGCGGGACTGATTTTTTTCTTCCATCCTTATATATTTGTTCTGTTTTTTTAATTATGTTATAATTAACCTATTTATTCTTAGACTTGCATTTCTGATATGAGCAAAAATTTTTTTTTAGCCCCGCAGGAGGGGAACTATTTTGGGGATTCAGTTGATGACGTCCGACGCAATTCATGCACTTGACAAGGATTAAGAAGCAGAAAGAAATGTCTTGACTTTTTTAAACTATAAATGTAACCCTTCAAAAATCTTATGTAACATCGTTTTAATTACTAAACATAAGATTAATTTATAAATATATGTGAAACTCACTGCGCTGCATCGGTTCTCGACAACAAGAAAGGCGCGCTTTTCGCTATAAAAAAAAGCATTTCCGGGTCATGGAGGCGAGCAGTCAAAGGACGTCCACGAAATTAGGTTAAATATCCAATTATACATTGAGATGCAATGCAAATTTTGCACTTGAAATTTATGTGGGAGTTTGATTTATACAAGTGTTTCTAAATTATCTCACGAAAAGACGGCATATTTGAAAGCTGTACCTACTGTAGCTGCTTTTCAGTCATAAACCAACTACTATTAGTAGTACTACTACAAATACTGCTACCACTACTACTATATAAGAACAAAAGCCTGATTCCCACGATTAAATGACAATTTTACCCATCTAACTAAACATACATTTTTAAATATATGCAAGACATCCGGGTACTGTTGTGTACGTATTTCCGGTTTGGGATTGATGAATCCATATGCACTTACACAATATGCACACTAGTCGTCACTGTTCACCACTGGATGGCAGCCTTATTTTCTTCATTGTCTCCTTTGTTTGGGGCTTAAAACACATTTCTTGACTTGTGATTCATTTAAAAACGCAATCAAAATGAAAGGATGAGTTCTATAGTGATGATTCGATCTTGTGTATATACTTATAATGGTTGCTTAAGAGATATAAGGTATTATTTCAAAAGTTACTCGTTAACCTACACAAAAAAAAAAACAATAAACAAGTTGACTTTTTTTTTTTTTTGGTTATGCTTGTTTATTCCAGTCGTTTTCCATGCAGTAATGTCATGTTTATATTCGGTAAATAGGTTTCATTATTTAGAATGGAATTAGGAAGAACAATTTGTTGATGTATACATTATTTCCAACTTTATATATGTTTAGATATAAATTAGCAACACGTGCAAACAGTTGAATTGCTTCCACACGAGAGTGCAGTCATGTCCGGGTGAATCCCTTCCAAAAAGGAAGCTGCCAGTGTGAAGTGAGTGTAGTTGTGAACGTGTTACCACGTGTGCGTGTGTGTGCGTATGTGAGTGGGTGTGTGCGTGTGTGTGTGTTTGCGTGTGAGTGTGCGTGTCTGTCCTGGCCAATGGAACCAGATCCTCCCTGCAGTGCGTAAGAGCGCGTTTAGGATTTAACCAAGTCTTTGCTGCGCGCCTGGCTGCAGTCTTCACCAGAGCCCGACGACCTGAGACTATTCCCACAATGCCAGTGTAGTTTCCACACTACTTTGGAGCCTCTACGCCTCGTTTTTTTTTTTCTCTCCATTTTTATTTTTGTTTGTTTTTGTTGTACTCGTTGAACTGTTCCAAGCGTTCCTTTCCGAAGTATGACTGGAGTATTTGACCGGAGAATCCCGAGTGTCAAACCAGCAGATTTCCAGACTTCTTTCCAACTCTCCGCCATGCATCATCCCTCCCAGGAATCTCCTACTTTACCCGAGTCCACCGCCACGGATTCTGGCTACTACAGTCCGGCCGCTGGAGTCTCTCACGGCTACTGTTCGCCCACTTCAGCGTCGTACGGAAAGCAGCTCAATGCTTACCAGTACCAATACCCGGCCGTGAACGCGTCTCCTCGGAATTTTCCGAGCAAATCTTACACAGACTACTCGTACACGACTCCAGCCTACCATCAGTATGCTGGTGCCTACAGCAGAGCTCAACCGAGTCCACAAGGTAAGAACTTACTATTCATTCTTCTTATTATTAATAATGAGCCTCCACAAGCATTATTAATAATAATAATCAAAACGCTAGGCAATTTTTTGCACCACATTTTAAAAAGAAAACATGATGGTTTAATTGAATTTCTCGTTGATGGAATAGGAAATAAAATGAAGATATTTATTGTGTACAGAAAAGGAGATTGCCGAGCCTGAGGTGAGAATGGTGAACGGAAAGCCGAAGAAAGTGCGAAAACCTCGGACTATCTACTCCAGTTTCCAGCTGGCCGCCCTGCAAAGGCGCTTTCAGAACACGCAGTACCTGGCCTTGCCCGAAAGAGCCGAACTGGCCGCCTCGCTGGGTCTCACGCAAACACAGGTGAGATTAAATCACAAATTTGGTCATCTCTCATTTCGCAGATTTTTATGCTTCATTTTCATGAAAAATAATGTGCGTAATTTCGTGCGTAATTTACTTGCGTTATTCCATTCCGCGTCTGCATCTGGGTTATAGTTTTGCTTTAAATACTTAGACCGCTGTTTTTTTTTCTACCCCAGGTGAAAATTTGGTTCCAGAACAGGAGATCCAAAATGAAGAAGATCATGAAAAACGGCGAGCTCCCCCCGGAACACAGCCCCAGCTCCAGCGACCCCATGGCGTGCAACTCCCCACAGTCCCCCGCCGTGTGGGACACGCACGGTCCCGCCAGGCCGCACAGCCTGCAGCCGCAAAGCCTCAACACATCGGCCTCTAACTTTTTGGAAAGCTCGGGGTCGTGGTACACAACCTCAGTCGGAAGCTCGGTGGCCGCCCACCTGCAGAACCCCAACTCGATACAGCACTCGTTGGCTCTCGGAGCGGGGACGTTATATTAAAAAAAGAAAAAATGTTGTTTCATTTAATTTTTTTCTAAAAAAAAAAAAAAAAAACTTCTATGGGACTCGATTTGACATTTCAGGGGAATATGCAATGTATTTGACAGTCATAGAAGAAACATGTAAAATGTGTAAATGTGTGCATGTAATTTATTGCATTTTTTGGAAGACTATTAAACGTTTAAATGGACAATGGAACTCTGCAAGCTCCGATTCTATTTTCCCGTCTTCGTAGCCCTGCGGATTTACCTGGAAAATCGGCCAAATATCACAGCCATTAAAAAAAAAAAAAAAAATCAGCCTCAGGTGAGATTTTTTTTTTCAATGACATGCTTGTAAATCACAGCTGCAGTAGCGAGATGAATTATTCAGATTATGTTTCACTTGGCACGCCCTGCCGTTTATTTCCATTTTTATAGATTTGCAACGTCTTAAAAAACACATTTACACAAATCTGTCACAGAGATGATAATTTAGAAGGGAAACCTGGGCTTTTATTGCACATTTTGTTCTTCAACATAAAGCATGCATTTCTCTTCATTGCATTTGTCATGACTATTGATTTTATTGGTGTCCACACGACAGCTACGAAATCTTTTTTTTTTTTTTTTTTTTTTTTTGTGCTTGCAGACAGTCTGCAGTCTCCCTCGCTTTGTGTCCTCCACGATTAGACACTTTGAATGGCAGCGAGGGGGCGACGGGTAGGGAGGTGGTGGGTGGGTGGGTGCTTGGTTGTGGGACGCCACGGAGATCTGAGACAATCCGCATTCCTGTGGGGGTAGGCCGGCTCCAGAGCTCTGCCACTCCCGGCCGCAGCCCACCTTCCGGGTAAAAATCAAAAAGAAGGCGAAATCCTCCGCAGCGTCACCATGTCATTAGCAGCCAGAGCCACCGTGAAACCACTAAACAAACCTTGCCACTTACAAAACACATTTAAGCATTTGAAATGGAGTTAATTGAATTTCCTCGGGCATGCGCACAAAAGATCATGCATGCGTTTTTTTTAATCTACACGAAATGCACCCTTCTCTTTTTTTCCCCTCTCCCTCACATTTATTCAGACGCCACACGCTGTCACATTTGACCCACGCAACTTCCACCTGACACACAAACCTGTTTTTTGATCCTTACATGGTCACTGTTGTTGTCTTGTAGAGCCAAGATTCATCATTAGATTTTCTATGACAATCCATAATTTAGTTTAGTGAGTAATATGTTTTGAAATCGACACAAAAAAATGAATCTAGGAGATCTTTTATTTTGTATTTTACATTCAAAAATATAAAAGCACGCCACACAAAAATTCATTTGACTTCTTCCGTAATTAAGTAGAACGCGATTTAATTGCTCTTTACGCCTGTCATGACCTGGTAGGCAAATTGAGAAAAAAAGTCTTCATTATTTGTAGCAAATATTTTTGGACCAATGAAATGAAATTGGATAATTCCCCATATACGGCACACCTGATGCTTGGGAATCACCCTTCTTTTCTGTATAAACTCTCGTCCTAATCCTAAATCAGACGACTACATTTCCACGCAGTACATGCACACAGCGGTGCCATTAAATGGAGAGCCCACGTTTATTCCCAACCGAATATTTTCCACTCAGCTACCCCCAACCCCACCCCACTATTTATTTTTTATTTTTTATGTTGCAGCAAATCGAGTAAACAATAATGACTGCTAGTTTTACTGGACACCTCCAACTGTAACACTCCACAATAATTATTCTCCATGCAGGATTAGGGCCGCCCCATCATAATCTGGACATTGACAATTACCTATAATTTGCAAAGATGCGCACGGTTCTTGATTGTAGAGGGCCCTTTTTTTCCCCTCCTTTCCTCTCTCCCAAGCTCGCCATCACTAAACAGTGACAGTAATAACATCTAATTTTGCAGCCAATATATAAGAGCTTACCACGGTGTGCAAACACTTTCCCACCTGGATTTGCTTACGGAGCCACCGACTCGGTGCACGTTGAGCCATTTGCGTTTTTTGGTGTGGTAGAGAAGCACGAGGAAGGTAAGGTTGTCTCTGGGTTCTTTTTTTTTTTTTTTTTTTTAGCATTCTGGGTGCTAAAATCGATCCAATTTGCATTGTGGTTGACAGATTAGGCTGCATAGATACGTCAATTCTTTATGCTGAAAAACACTGGATAGGAGGTACATGTAGTACCTGTAGTAACCAGAATATATGCATACACACACACACACACACACACACACACACACACATTAACAAAAGTTATGAAATATCTAGCTAGCTAGCGAGCTAACTAACTAGCAAGACAGCTATCTACCATCTAGATCTATTATCTGATCCATTCATTTTTAGTCGACGATGTAAGGTCTTATGTGTGATATTTGTGGATCTTGTTGATGTTTCGGATGTTTGTACGGCTTTGGTACATGCTTGCCGGGCACACATGCCGGATGATGCAGACTGATTGTCGTGTGTGTGTGTGTGTGTGTGTGTGTGTGTGTGTGTGTGTGTGTGTGTGTGTGTGTGTGTGTGTGTGTGTGTGTGTGTGTGCGTGTGTGCGCGCCCCCAGGTAGTCTGAATGTGAGCCAGTGGGGCATCCGCGACTTTGACAGCTGCATGGAGCCTTTTCACCATGCAGTCGTCATCTCAGATAATATCCCCACGCTCTCTCTTTTCGACAATTTGTGTATGAATAACCGAATAATTTCACCTCTTTGTTCCATCCGCACTACCTCCAAACCAAAATAAAGATGCCTTTTAGTATTAAAGTGGTAGAAAATTACAGGTAATTATCTTTGACGGTAAAAACGCTGTAATCAGCGGGCTACATCAAAAATTACCCTAATTATGCCTGCATTTATGAGAAAGAGGGGGAAAAAAGCCTCACTTGGATAAAAACCCAGCAAATTGTCCCAAATATCTCCTTCATATTGAACGCCACTGCAGCTGGCTGCTTTGTTCGGCATCGATCCCGCGGAGCTTGGCATTTAACGGCCTGCATTAGGACGGAGAGACGGCAGAAAACATTTTGTCAATACTTCCAATAATTGAGGGTGGAATGACCTGCGTGCGGCGAGAGTCTTTGGAGGTGAATGTAGGCAGCGGCGGTGCAGGGTAAGTTCATTTCCTCGCTCGAGCATTCATAGCCTATTACCGCTTTTTAGATCGACATGGCGCGTTTCTTGCATGCAATGTTGGCCCAATATGAGGGAGAATTGTTTGGATTATTAGTATTATTTTTTTTAAAGCACACAGAGCATGTTTTGAGTCACGGTTTACTCAATCTGACAGAACGTAAAAAGTGTATGTACAAGTGAAGTGGCTGATTCTATTTACAGACACAGATTCCAACAATAACAACAACAAAAAAATAAAATAAAATAATAAAGCAGTGTACAAGTCCACATGTGAGTCAGTCTTTGCCCAAATTGGCTCAAAATGTCACTGACAATATTTGGTGACGGATGACAGCAGTACAGTCATATATACTTTGTGATAACGCCACTGAACAGTCCCTCCTTTTTATCCGTCCCAAATTTCCAGGCCGCATCCGGAGGCCTCCATTGTCTATCTCTGCATGGAGTCTTGGTGCGGGGATGAATACCAGTGAGAGTAGCCCGGCATGTAGCTGTTGGCTGCCATGTTTACTCCTTTGGATGAGGCCGAGACGTCCCATATGGGCGGGATGGACGGGGAGCGTGGGGAGAGGGTCATGGAACCCGGCATGGGGTCACTTTCGTGCGGGTTGCCGCCTTGCTTGAGCAGCTTCTTGAACTTGGATCTCTTGTTCTGGAACCAAATCTTTACCTGTCAAAAAAAAAAAAAACAAAGCAAAAAAAAAAACAATGCAATGCAATTAGAAATGAATCCACCGCTCACCCCACTCCTATATTGATTTGTTTTTCAAGATGCATGCAGAATTCGTTCTACCTGCGTTTGTGTTAGTCCTAACGAGGCGGCCAGCTCGGCCCGCTCAGGTAAGGCGAGGTACTGCGTTTGCTGGAAACGGTGATTGAGCGCCTGGAGCTGCAAACTGGAATAAATGGTCCTGGGCTTGCGGATCTTCTTCCCTTTGCCGTTAAAACGAATCTCCCCGTTTTCAATCACTGTCGTCTTCTGCTGCTCTGCAACAAAAAGAGAAGCAATGATCATCCAAAACCACTTTCTAAACGTCTAAATCGGCGAAATCGCAGCGCCGGTGAGGCCCGTTTTATTTAGCCGTCATTTTTTTTCCTCCCAGATATCGCCGCTAATGACGTGTCAATTAAATGCTAATTACAACATTCAAGGCTGCCTGCATTTCTCATCGCGTGGTTGTGCGGTTATGCACGGTACAGATGATCACACCCTGTTGTTGTTTCTTTTTGGAGGGGGAGGTGAGGAGGACATAAACGTCCGACATAAAAGGACGGCTCGGGAACATAATCGAATTATTTGACTGCTTGTACGCACGCGTGGAGGTGGCGCAATAGAGGCGGACAAAATAATAATAATAATAACAATAATCAGAGGCGGTTTTGGTCTTACCTGCGCCGTCTAACCTCGTCTGTCCTCCCGTGTTGTTGTGGTAGGTGGACAGGTAGGGGCTGTGGTGCGGATGGCTCACGTAGGGGTACGCTAGGGACCTGTTGTAGGTGTTGCCGGCCGGATAGGCGGCGGTGTTGTCATGCTGGTGGTGGTGCGTTCCCGAGTGGAGACAGTGAAGCGGGTAGTGGGCGCCCGCCATGGACGGCGAGTTCTGTTGCGAGTGTGACTGTTGGCCAAACTCCATGAAAGCAGACTTGGACGAGTCCTGCGCCTCCAGACCGCCAGCCATCGTAGTCATGGTCATCATCGAATTTTCCTGCCTTGAGAGCACTCACCCCCCTCTCTCTCAAGACCGAATCGGCTTCCTCTCTCTCTCTCTCTTTTTACCGCGCGCTGCTCTTTTTCCGATCAGGTCCCGGGTCCCCCCGACCGCCACCGCCACCACGACCACCAACCACCACGAGGGACTTTAATCTCTCCGTCCCGTGATAATTCTCACTCAAGGTAGGCTAGAAGAGACGGAAGATTTTTTTTACTGCTAAAATCGCACCCTTGCTTGCAGACTTGGTGCAGACACTACAAGTAAAATGGTTTGTCTCCAAAGGGCAGCGCCTTCCTATTGGTCATCCGGGCGCAACGTCATCATGCAGGGCTGTGCGCTTCACGGAGACTTGAGCTGGAGTTAACCCACCTTACCAGCTCCGACTACAACTTCGAGGCGGGGGGAATAATATACGGGATGGGAAAGACGCCTAATTCCCACAGACAAGCTGAGCTGCTTGGAATTGCCCTATCGCTTTTCACTTTCTTTTTCTGCCCAACCCAAACAACCAAATTACGCACGAGAATGCACATTGTTGTGCACTAGCATCACGAACCAGCAGCACATATGTGCTCATTTGATTTTTCCCAATCGCGTCGCACTCTTATTTTACTCCCTGATAGGAAAAAGCATTAACATATACATTGTATGGAAAATATATATCTAAGTAAATAAAGATGTGTGGTGTATCCTATCTTGACTTGTAGGACCAAGCAGCCGATTTGTGTACATTTATTTCCACTAATAACTCTTCATGTTTGCACTGCCCCTAACGATGATCATGAAATAGATTCGCCCCTCCCCCCCCTGCCCCCCTTTTGCAGCCCTCCCTGTTTACTAGAACAATTTATCCCATCAAATTGGGCTGACGATTGAAAAGAAACAGGCACACGGCACAGCTAATAATTACATTAACAATAACAACATCCCCAAAATGCAATGGGTGACTTGGGGATTCCAAAATAATGTGTCATCTTTTCTCACTATAATGAGGCCCGAGAGCTTCTTTACAAAATCAAATTACATTTTAAAATCAAAGAATACCATTTCTATTTTTTTTTTCTCCTCTGCGGAGTGTAGCATTAAATCATCTCATAAAAAAGGCCATGAAAATACTGTAATTACATTCAGTCAAGGTACTGCGAAGACCTATTTGATTAGCGGGCACACTTTTCCTCAAATTGCAGCCATAAAATTTAGAATAATTCCCCCGTAATAATGGTGGACTGGCTTTATTTTGGGAGGTTGGAATAAAAGTGGATATAGCATAAATTACACTCTAATTACACGCCAGTGTCGCCTCAATTATCCTCTTATCAAGAACGGTCGTCTCAACGCGGCGTTTAGTTTCACTTTTCCGCCTAACAAGAACTTGGTACCTTGCTATTATCGTCAACTCCGGTTGTTATTTACTTTCTGCGATTTAAAAGTACAACAACCCGGCTGCCGGATCATCATTTTGACACCAGCAGGAGACCAGATGAGAAGCACGCAGGCGGGCGATGCTGCGACACATCCACGGGGATTTATTTCCAACGTAGTTTTTTTTTTTTAATTTTTATTATCGGAATAAAATAGACGGATGGGAGGAGGGTTGAAGGTATGTTAATCGTCTTTTGCGGTGCTGCTAATTTTGTCGCTAACTATTCCTTGTCTTTGATTTTACAGCTTGAACATAATTTTTTAAAATAACCATCTTAAAAATTCCGATTCGAGTCGATTTTTCTGTTTTAAAGGTTGTGGTGATATATTGAACGGCTGTGTTTCAACGTGTGAGAGAGAACACGATGCTCCACCTTGTTGGTTTAGAAATTTAGAACCCAACCAGGGCTGGACTCCCCCCGTCCTCGTGCGGTATCGATATTTTAGAAATATAATAAAAACGAGACAATGCGTGCATTGTTATCACAGTTCATGCCTGCGCTCATTATATTGTCAAATTCCAGCTCGCCAAAACGCCCAGAACGCTCAACTTCACGTTAAAAAAAATCACTTAGTTCCCGTAAGTAGATGATTGACCCGGAGCTCAATCAATGGCTGTTTAATATAAGTGCTCTGTCTTATGAACACTGATGAATGACTCTTTAAAATCACTTGCCCGGGGATTCACCTTATACCCCAACCTGCTTTTGTAAAAAAAAAAAAAAAAAAAAAAGAAAACATGAGCTACTGTCCATATTTGAAAGTGAAATAAACGCTCAAACTTGTTTACAGCGCGCCACCGCGCGTCTTCCTCTCCCCGCGTGGCCCCAAGTGTAAATCATATGTGTGCGTTAACAGGGAGCTGCATCTCCACCAGAATAGTGTGACTGTGGTTTTTGACTGGCTCTCGCGGTAAAAGCCACCCCCTTGGCTTGCAGAGGGGGACCGGCGGTTGCCACTGAAGAGAGAAAACCGAGAGGCTTTTATGAGACTTGATGTCTCCCCACTGGCGTGTCACAGACAACCTTGAAGGCGACGAAGACGCGCGCGCGCGCACACACACACACACACGCACACACACACACACCCACACCCACACACACACACTGCGTCAGTCACAAATGACCACGTGCGTGCCCCCTGAACGCAAGCGTTTTTCGCCAAACTGCGTGCGCACCGCTTTTACGCACCGAAATGACGCAAACGTTTTGATGTGCCGAGTCCTGACAAACGAACGTAAATGGTGTGTGGAAAATGAGATGTATTATGCCTCGAGGAAGCGGACTCATTGGCATATCATCTCCATGTCGCAGGTGTGTGCAAGCTCACGAGTTGACCGCGACAAATAAAGGCACGGATTTAATTTCAATTTCTTGTTAAGACACACAGCCGACATGCGAAAAAAAAAAAAAAGAGCGACGGAAATCTTGAAACATGGAGCAGGAATGGAATATATTCTTATACGTGCGTGCTGCACGGCATGGGACCCCCTTTCCCCACTCTCGATGTAATCCACGACATTATCATGTGCGGGAGCACAGTGGTCGCTATGAAGGAGAGGATTTGGTCGCTAGATAACAGACAGGAAGGGCAGCAATCACAGGCTTCTTTTTTTTTATTTTCTTTTTTTTTTTCCAGAATGTACTGTTCGAAGCCGTTTATCCCTGATGATAGAAAATTGCTCTGTTGCCAGGACGCTGAAATAGAGGGCAGAAGCAACATTTCCATTTTCCTGTTTGAAAGCCGTTGCGATGAATTTGTCTGAAATTAAAAAAAAAAAAAGAGTCACCCTAGTAAACAAAGGCGCCCAAACAAAGATACCTTTTTTCTTTCAGCTGAAAATCCTTTTCATTTTTTTTCCTACCCCCCTCACTCATGTATCTTATTTTATTTTATTTATTTTTTGTTACACGAGAGGTTGCAAATGACATGCTTGGCCTCTAATGCTGTCCAAGGCCCAGGCCTACTTCACATGCACTCATTAAACCAAACTGAATATTTAAAGCACCTTTTCATCGTGCAGACAGTGAAGGGGGAAAATTGATAAAGAATATCTGACAACTGGAGAAATTATTAACCCCTGGGCGTGCATCAATGGCACACCGGAATAACAGGAAAAAAATCGACAAGCAGTTATTATGATTATTATTATTGTTATTATTATTATTATGTTTCTGGTAGCCACTTGAGCACATTCATCCATAAAGATTGTTTTCCCATTGTTATTTAGAATATGCATGGAATTATATCGATGGAAGGAAATTATTATTAATAGCACGTGACGATATTTTGACTGGAGGAGTACACAGCAGGTGGGCTCAGGAATTGGACTGCATGGTTCAAGATAATTGGGGACCCCATGAAGAGAGGCTATAATACACCGTTGAAATTTGGCAAAGAAACCATGAGAGCTTCGGATCCAATGGCAACTTTTTATGAGGAACGCTTCATATTTAATGACTCCTATGGGATTTTATGATATCGTAATGTTCAAAATATACCAGCAAATGCAAACCTCATATTTTGAATACAGCAGAATAAGTCTCAGGAGCTCATTCATCATCATATACTCCCTTTTGAAAAAGATTATGAAATGAATAAGGATGACATGTTGGCGGCCACTGTTTTAATCAAGCAATAAGTGGCCCTACAGAAGGAAGTGCAGTGTTCAGCGCCACACTGCAAACCAGAGGAGCTGAAGAATGTGAAGTGAGGTGGAAAAGAAGCGAAGAGAAAGGAAGTCACACCTGCTGAAATGCAGAGCTCTGTTTCTCATGGCAAAACCCGGTCAGGCGATAGCTTCACCTTTGTTTAAGAGCCAACAATCTCCTCCTACGTGAAACTGCCCTCGTATCAGCTTTCAAATATTTGTTACCATGTTATTATATTTAATTTCCACCCAGCCACTATTAATATTTCAACAACATTGAAAAGAATCATCGAATAGTCAACAAAATATCTTTATAACGTCACTTTTATGTACAGGAAAGATGTAAAAACACTCTCGGCCTTTATCGTTTCCATATCAGCCGTAACCTCATAATATCATAATTATGATGCCATGGCCTGAAAAACACTGATGGAAGCTTTTTTTTTTTTTTTTTTTACATCTGATCTGTCAGTGTTGAGTGGATGCATTTTTTACGACTTTGTCCATTTTGGTGAAGTGAAGGTAGCCAATTATTGTCATCATTGCCCTTGAAAATGCATTAGGCCTCACCCGAGGGCCCAATCAATCAGTGTGAGTGAAGAGCCGATTAACAGTCGACTTGCGACCTTTTATATTGCCCAAAAAAAAAATCACCCCAAAAAGGGCAAGGCGGCGATCAGCATTTATGCTCCATGTTGCTCTCTGTGATTGAGTGTCGGAACCTTGCCTTTTATCATTCATTTTTTTTTGGGGGGGGGGTTGTGAAAAGCTATAGTTTATTCAAGAATGGGGTCATTTATTCAAAAAGTTGGTAATTTTATGATTTAATTAAGGAGCGGGTTATTTTTGGAAGAGCCTGCTCCAAGGGAATTAAATTGTGGAGGGAAAATGCCATAATGTAGTTCATAATTGGAACTAGGAGGAAAATCATTAATTTTGGCTCCAGTTTGTTTTATTTAAACTTGAGGAAGCTCTTTACGACTTGAGCTTCATAAAATGAATCATAGCCTCAAATCATTTTCTTTAAAATATCCACTATACCAAATTGTGTTTTTTTTTTCCCCCTTCAGATATAAAACGATTTCATTTGTAGTAGAAACACAAAGATTCTAGTCCAATGTGCTTTGGGAAATTATCTCATATTTTCTCGTAGTTTTCAATACCCCCCTTCCTTCCTCGCTCCTACAGGAACACTCCCTTATGAAAACATCATGCTACCAATGTAGCAGTTGTGGCTAACAATGGGGCTGTGGGGTGCCTCTGTCTCTGAATGGTTGTTTTTCTTCAGACGTGGTGGTTTATTGGAAATCAAACTAAATTCCAATTACCAAGGGGCCAGAGACCGCTGATTTAAAAAAAAAAGTACTAATGTTAGATAATGATGAAAGTTTTAACAAATATGACAAAAAGTCTTCCTCTAACTGTTCCAAACATTGTTCCTTTATGACAAATAAGGTATCTTTGTTTACCTGTCTATGCCAGCGACGTATAGTGGCCGACAGAACAATTGAACATTGTTCCACTCGATGGCAGGAGGTACAATTAACCTCCGAATCCACTTGTTGCCATTCAAATAGCAAGAGTAAGAGTAGATCGTACTTCAATTGAGACCACAACATCATGATTTCAGTATTTCCGCTTTTGCATGAACTTTTTTTATACTTGCCGTGAAATGTTTGGAATGTAACGTGGTGAAAATATGACTTACATGTTGTGTTTGCCTCTCCGCCCAACGACATTGCCAATGTTCAACCACTTTCTCTCTCACCCCCCTTTGCCACCAATTCTCTACCCCCCCCCTCCCCCGACCCCCTCAATACCTCCCCCAACAGGTACGCCTCCATGCATCCCCTCATGGCAGCTCCAAGCCACCCCTTTCCCCCTCCCAATCCGTCTCCCCCTGGTTGGCTTCCACAGCTGTGGTGAGTGAGGGCGCAGATGACCGGAGATTTGGCCCCTGGGAGAGCGCCGAGCCATCCTGGTGCTATTAGACTGGTGGCTAATAATAGGTGTTTCAGACTCGGGGAAGATCAATCAGAGGGGAATGGGGAATGTTCAGGCCAGCGCTTTTTACACATCGGCCCAGATGGATGAAATTACACTTGTCAGTTTTTAGTTGCATTACTCCCAAATTGGTTGTCTACTCTTTTTTTTCACCCCCCTCCCACCTCTCGCTGCCTCATTCCTGCTCTTGTTTTTCCTCCGTTTTTTTTTTTTTTTTTTTTGCCTTGGTTCATGTGTCAATGTCCTGCTAAAAGGATTCAGCAGTGAAGTCCCTGTCATTTTGTGCCTGGCTTCTCAAGGAACAACCCTGCATATTCACTTAAAGGAGATTATTTCCCTGTAAACATTTTTCACGTTATGGCCAAGCGCATGATTGTGGAAAATGTGCAGATGACATTTTGTACGTGGAGTGTATCATCGAGATGAAAACGTGTCAGGGATATTCAAATATTCTCTCATGCTGTTTTTGCTGCTCGGTGTAATTTGAATGTAATTCTGAGAAAACTTCAATGGACTGTCATTATTTTTGCTTTAAATGCCTTGCTAATGTGGAATTCATTGAGAAACATTTCCCTGTATGAGAAAAGAAAATTCTAATGACCGTGTCAAAGATAAAGTTCTTTACAAAAGGAAGGTTTGGTTGATTTTTCAAAATTGTTTTTCATGGTCATGTCACGTGCGTGGTTTTTGCTTTAAATTGTTCATAAAAGCTCGGGCTTATTTGTCTCTCCATCTACCCTGTGGGAAATTTCCATCTGTTATCTAGAAAGCATTGCCCCTGTGGTGTTGTTATAAAATTCGCTCAACACATATGCACCCAAAAGTGTGACGATCGTTGCTTAAAAGCAATCAATTATTGCTCAAGTATAGTGGTGGCGTGAACAATGAACCCGTAATGCGGTGGCTACCCTGGAAAAATCTGCAGACACTTGGGAAGTGGGTGTCTTACTCCCGTATAATACACCCCACAAAAACACAAGCGTGATAATCACAGCAGAAGATTGGCTGTGTGTTAAAGTAGCTGTTCTGAATCGCTCACTGGGGAGACATCCCATCCTCGCTCCCTCCCTCCCAATGGAAATCAACACAACACAGCTCCCAGATGTTGGGGTCTCCGGGCCCACGCAGCAGCCCGGAGCCGAGATGCTCCTCAATGTCTGATTGCACAACGGAGGAGACTCGGGGAAGAGAAAAGCCTCTTTGACTGAAAGCGCAGTGACCATGGGGGAGGGAATCAGGGCCTCTGTGTGAGAGAGAGTCTCCTTAGCAACAGGAAGAAAATTAACACTGACATCCTGACTTCTCAGCTAAACTCGTCACGGGCCTTCGGCTGGATATTTTCATGCATGGGGTGTTAAAAAAAAAAAAGAGGGTGGGGGGGACAGAAAGAGAGGGATGAGTGCTGATATAAAGACACACTCCCTGCTCGTCTTCCATTTCTATTCAAATGAGTTTTCCTTTTCTTGCACAGCTTATGTGTGCTGAATACAGAGAGTCCTTCTAATATATGTATTTTGCTCATTTTACTGTGTCTGGCGTTTCCGCGCCTCTTCTCTCTGACTCTGTGTTTGCCTCCCGCTGCGGTAAACACAACATAGCGATGATAGCGCATGCATTTCAGAAAGCTCCAAACACGGCAGAGGAGCAGAAACATTCATTCTCTCTCTCCACCTCCCCCCCCCTCTCCTCCCGAGCCGCCAGTCCTCTTCCTCACTTCCAGCCAGGGTATTCAGCTCCCATGATTGCAAACATGCATAATGACAGCATCTCCTGGGGGCCGGCGGAGGTACCCCACTGATGCTGAGAGTCTCTATCCTGTCGTCACATTGCAGGAAATTTGTCAGCGATGCACTCTGGAGCCCGGTGGTCTTTGGCGAGGCCCCGCCAAACGAAAGCGGGCTGGCTGTTTTTTTGTTAATAAAATGAAGTGCAAATTGGGCCAGGCTCGTTGGAACAGCTCGCTGCTTCCTCCCATTACGAGGCCAGGGCGAGCGCCGCGGAGGCATAAGCGTGAATACATTATCAAGTAATGAGGAGACATCCAGGAGAGGGTGACGGGGGGGGGTGTTCTGGAGGCTCCAGAGGCCGCACCGAGAGCCTCCAGTGTGCTCAGCCACGGATTAGTCATTTGTGTTTGAAGAGCAAGCGAGAGGTGCAGTTCAACGATGTTACACATGGCAACAGTTGCTAAGAATTGCGGCGGGCGAGTGCCGTTGAGCCGGTGAATACGGACAGTTGACGCTGAGCGGTTGCCAATAGCGGCGAGGATGCTTTGTGTATCCACTGTGCAGCTTTTGCGGCAATCTCAGGTGATATTCATGAAAACCATGGGCAGTGGCAAGCATAATCATGCCGGAGCAGCGTGAGCACGGCGGAGATAAAATGTCACTGACATTTGGAATTCTAAGCGAATCATGAACATGCAAAAGTTTATTCTCCCTCCGGAGCCAAAAAACAAAGCTTTGAGCTGGTTAAAAGCAGAAACTATCCACCTTTCTGGCCAACAAGACCCTCAACTTTTTTGGGGGGGGTTGATTTTGTTTTGATTCGATGTAGTTCTGCTTGATATTTTGTCATATTTTTTCGATTTCCATTTAGGGTTACATTCACATCATCGCTACCACATCAGTGACGGAGATTTTTCTTTCATAAAATTGTTTTTACAAGCACTGTACTCGTGTAACCATGGACATGGTCTCTGCGGCATTCCTATAAAGGCCCCCTTTGTCATTCATGCACCACCTGAGCAGATCATCTTATGTACTCTTGTGTACGTTCCTGGGTGGGAGCTCAGCATCGTAGAGGCGCTTTTATTTTCTCGCACCACACGAGCGGCACTGATGATCGGCAATGAAGTCGCCTGATGGAATGCCATGGCAACGGCTGACACCTGGCTGCAGTTCATCCCACCTCTTTTCTCCCTCTCTCCCTTCCTCCCTTCCTCGCTCCCTCCCTCTCCTTCCCCCATGTCTCTCTGTCTGACTCCCCTCGCACATACACTGGAACACATTTGCCTTGATGGACTCAAAGCCCCTGTGAACAAATAATGGGAGCACGCCAATTTAAATAAAAAAAATGGTTTATGAGTCGCAGTCAGAAATGTCTCCTTGTAGCCCCCCCCCCTCCTTGCCCCCTCCCCATAACATTTGCCAAGATTTTATTTCAGGAGGGGGTGGGATAGGGCGGCATGTCTGGTTGTGGATCATACAAAACCATTTTTCCCTTTCTCACAGCGCAGTACATCATCAAAGTCTGCAAGCCTGTTATGCATTTTGGCTCACCGTTGCGCAGCCAAAACAAATCAGTGTTTCCCTTTGCCATTTCGCAGCCTTTCAAATACGCGTCAGAACTCATGGCTATAAATGTCTTGTTCGGCTCGCCGCAACGTCGAGCTGGAGAATTCGGTCACGCAGGTTGTGAAAAGTTAATGCAATTGATTGAATCGGCACAAAACGTTGATCCAACTGAGAGATCATACTTTCTGATGTCAAAAACAACCATTTGTATTCGGGCCAAAAGTTTACCGTGCGGAGTTGCACCTTGTGTATTGAAAACAACCATATAGCTTTGTGTTTTAGGCTACTATCTTAGTGCTAATGCTAAATAGCATCGACTGTATTTTACGGTGGTATAACCCTTTAAGTGACGGACTGATAACAAATAGTGTAGCAACAAATGTAAACAAACAATAGGTGTGGTCATATATTCTTTGTCCTGTGCAGAGAACGACTGATATTAGTGTCGCACTGATGAGATGCTGAGATGTTTCAGCAAACAGTATGTTTTATACTGCCCCCAGTTAGCCAAAGCGGTCATACCAGAAAGAGTGGCAACAGTGGCCATTCAATTGATGGATGCAGTGAGACAAAAATTATTTTATTCTTGTAAAAAAATCATTTATTTATGTCAATTTAGAGTGAAATAACCAAGGTCCATAAATGCTTGGTTGAGTTTGGTGTCGAAGAACACCTCTGGGATGAACAGAAATTGTGAGCCTGAGCCTCTCGTCCAACATCAGCAACCTTTGAATGCAATAATCTCATCTGAAGTCTTCCCAGAAGCGTGGAAGCTGCTCGCCAAAACGTGTCCGCCGCATACTTGCACATTTAGGTCATACATAAACAGACGTATAAAAAAAACAAAAAAAAAACAGTTCTGTTTGTGGTTTTACGAAGACGTACCCGTTGGAATTGAAACCGAATCCTGCGCTCATCAACCGTACTTGGCAAAGAGACATCACAAATCGTCCATAAAACTTCCACATCGCGCTTTGCCCAAGAAAATGCGATGTAGCTTTGCTCCTTTGAGTACTTCAACAGATATTCCCTGAGTTTTACGTGTGTCGGATTAAAGTGCAAATACCAAAACTGGGGGAGGAACATTGACTGGGTGGCTTGTAAAAAGTAAGAGACCAAGTGATATTTCCAACCAGGAATAACTCAAGCCAGAATCTTACAATTGCCACATGTAAACATGCAGACAAAATTATTTTGGCCTATTTGTATATCTATTACAAATTGAATGGATTACACAGACATTAAATTGCTAATTGTGTGTGTCCGGACATTTTCTTTTTTATCCACAGTGATTGGTCTGCTTTCACATTGTAATTTACTTTGGTTGTATTAAAAAAAAACAAAAAAAAAAAAACAGTGTCTTGTAGTCTCTCTCATTGGCACAGATTCTTGTCAGCCGCACAGAGAAGTAGACAGATCTCAAACCCAGAGGAGCCAGAAGTATTAATGAGCATTAAAAAGCTCTTAAAATGTAATCTCCACGGACTCATGCTAGGAGGTGTTGGCACCGCCGCTGCAACCACAACGCATTTTCCTCCGGGCCAACAACTGTGAAAGCAGAACTCTTGAATTGACTGCTTTGCACCAAGCAGGAGTTTTTCATTTTTATTTTTTTTTAATACACATACAAGAAAAAAATGCATCAGGAAAAGACAAAGCCATGACAAAAATGGATTTGAAATCTGCCTGGTAGTTTTGTGTGCTTATGTGGGTTTTTCAGACTAGTACTTAATCAGTCCTTAAAAAACAAAAAAAAAAACAAACAAAAAAAAAAAAACCTAAACAAAAAAAACTGAATGGCTGGTTAGACGATAACAGACTGACAGGTGTGAAGTGGACAAAAACAAAACAAACATCAAACTAGACAATAGTCTTATTGTGTGTGGGATGACCTCTTTGATAAAGAGGTTTTATTTCCAGGCTACAATAATATGGAGTACATTAAAGTTGATCATGAAAAGTGGGAAAAGCCACCAAGAAATTCAATCTATTCAATATATACACTATGTCACTGAAAAGCAAATTTTATGTTTTTAAAATGGAGTCAAAAGTCACCTGTAGTCACTTAAGTTAATGTAATGGAGAAAATGTTGCTCGTTGCTACCCACCTCTGACTTTAGTGAATCTTAAAAAGTGACCATAGCCTTTAAAATCTGCATGGGGGATTTCTGTTTACAAAAACCAGGAGGTAACCCAGCGATCATGTTGGACTTGAGAGGTGCCACTGTATTTTCTGTTCGCTCGTATAAAGTGAGAACACCCGGCATCTACCTGCATGAGTTTGAGGCTGAAAGAGGGTTTTCCATAACCGTCAGTCACTCAAATTGCTAG